AGGAAAGCAACTTGAAAACCATTCAATTCTATGGAAATATAAGGTCCAGCTATTATCAAATAGTGAACATAATTCACTCCCAAAACAGCTAGGGAGATGAAGGGCAGAGAAAAACCATGGAACAAACTAAGTGAAAGAAATTGAGAAAATGTATTCTTTGGGCTATCAGATATGATGAGATCCTTCAGTTAAATTTACGCCTCTCCTATTTGCTAGAAGAGATATTTGTCAGTTCCAAAGCCACAAGTCTTTCGCTTTTGGTTTTATTAGCTACATAGTAATTGATATGAATTTAAAAGATAGTTTTAATTTAATAGCAATAACTACATCTACTGGCAGACTATATTTTATGTCATTGATAGTCCATTTATTTTCCAAAAGGATTTACCAGTTTATAATAAAGAACACAAATGTGGGTAAGCCTGTGGGAGAGTAATAAAAAAGAAATAAGGAATAAGAAATCTGAAATGATAAAGGAAGACAGACATATACCTTACTGTTATGAGCTTTTATACCAAGCTCTCAGGCAATGATCAAAGAGAACCAGAGTAGGAGTCTGACATCTTATTTCTTATCCTAGTTTATCCATCATGTAGTTTGCACATAACTGTTATACTTATTTTATTACTTAATTTATTGTTCTACTTGTTATACTTGTCCACAAGTAAATTATCCAGTTCTCTTTAAATTTATCTCTCAGATTTCCCCTGGGAGATGCTTTCCAAACTTGTTCCATTTTAATAGCAATGGAATTATTTCAGGGAGGCTGATTTGCTTACACACACACACACACATGTACACACACACACACACGTATATATTGTATACACACACATTCATAGAACTAATATTGTATTATTGTATTTTAGTACTTTTATTAAGCCGTTTTACCTGTAGTTATTTGATAGAGTAAATAATAAATGAATTCTAGTCTATTGTATTTTTACCTAAACTTTTCTTGTTTTTCAGACACATGCATGCACACACACATAAATATATATAGGCTTATGTATATGCACATACAAATATGTAGGTATGTATTATTTTTATGTCTAAAGTGCATCTTAAACAAGACAAGGATTCTGTTTCTGTTAATAATCTCCCAGAAAAGTGATGTGCTATTTGGATATGAGACTGGAAATAGAACCAGTGCCACAGAGGCAAGGCCACAGGGTTTCTAAGTCAAAACAACAAGCACAATAAAATAATTACCTAAGTGATCCTAAATAAAGGAAAATTAAACTGCCATCAGCAATTATATTCTAATAAAATAAGCAGTAAAATGCCCAAAATTTAAGAACTTTGGAGAAATAGGTGAATGAGAAAAAATTATATTCCTCATTCTCTTCAAGAAACTGTTTATTTAGCTTGTTCTGTGACTATATTAAACTGCCACTCAGGACTCCTTCATGATTGATTGCATGGAAGACTGTTTGATCCTTTTCTCCTGCTCGACTGCTATCCCAACCACACGCACACAGAACACATACCAAAACACTCTGTCAATATCACCACCAGCTTCATCACAGTAAGTAGTTAGCCAATTATGAAAACAATAAGTCACACCCATTATTTGCACGGTGTGAGTTAAAAAAAAAATGTCATCCTTGTTAACTATTTGAAGATGAGGTGTATTTTCTTAATCTTTGTTAGTGGTGACTGTGTAGAGATTTCATTCCTGGAATACTGTGTTGGTTAAAACTTAGCAAAGCAGCCTTGCAAACTTGCAAATCCTGCAGTGTGAAATGGCCAAAATGCCACTAGATCAATTTTTTCTTCAGTTCAATTGATCAGTTTTTGCCAACAAGGATGAAATTTACATGATTCTGAAGATGACAATATATAGTATGATCTTGCATCAGCACACCGAACATGGTGAGAAGCCAGCAATCAGAAGTACAAGGCTCGGGAGAAAGCATGTAATATGGTATTGCATGGCTCAGAAGTGAAAATCTTTAATGGATTAAGTGGGGTTCTTATAGGTCCCAGGATGTTCCCAACAGGTTGATTTGTAATCCACCTTTAAAAATAATACAAACTTTTTTATTTGAAAATATAAAGCAAAGTAATTCTGTGTTCCCTGTAGGGCTCTAGGCATTTTATATTAAAATTAACACAAAGTATGTATTTACCTTTAAAAACCACGCAAGATGGCAAACGATGGAACGTAAAGAGAAAGAACAATAATAATATCAGAGTAAAAAATTGTAATTATTAATTAACTTCTAATGCCCCATAGCATTGGACTATGGGAGTATTCAGGATCTTTATTCACTCTTACCAGCAAATTCTTTACCAAGAATAGATATTTTCATATTTTTTTCTTCATAGCAAAATAATCATATGCCAGGTACTTTGTATCTTTTATGATCTCTTCACCTATAAAATTAGAATTATCTAACATAGTGACATTGTAAATTAAGAATAACAAAAGCAATACAAATAATTTTAAATCAGATTTTAATCTTTCATATCAAATATTGTCATAGTAAAGTTTTGCTTTTTGTTTATTTAAAGATTAAAGCCACTGGGACCTTCTAAACACATATAAGAAATTATATATTTATGTATTAAAATATTCTTCTCTGTATTGGGGCATTGAGAATTACTGGCAGGGTAGTGAATGAAAACTACAAGTAAAATGCTTATCGTTATTGATATGGTGGGATGGGCAAACAAGCTTGTGGAAACACCAACTTTGGGCGCTGTGACTTTGTTTTCATTCTGCTTTAGGTTGATACAAAAATGTGAAAAGAACCAAGTACAGACAGCTGTTTGCCCCATTGGTGTAGTTTATTGATACAGTTTATTGTGTAATTACGTTGGTATGTGGTGAAAAAAGGCTTTCAGAGGTAGAAGGCTCAGTCTGGACACTTAAAAACGGTACCACTTAAGTCAGATAATTGAGCGTCTGTTTCCAAATCTGTAAAACAGTGTTAAGATATAAAATATCCTATAGAATTATTTCAAAGAATCAGCAAATGAATTTGAAAATATTTTGCAAACTGTAAAGCACCATGCATATGTTGCTATCAGTTTTTTGACTTGTTACTTGTGTAGTGACAAAATTATTTCCTGATAGAGTATGAATTTGTCTCTGTAGCAGAATCCACTATATATTTAGGAAAGAAAAGTAAAAGATTTTTATAAATTGCCATGAAATGTCACAGGCTGATTTGCATTTTTTGGTGATTCTATACATTAATCACTGAGTAACCTTCAGTTTTCCAAATAAAGAATAAAGAGAGTAGTGATGACATTTGTAATCATCTACAGAGGAATTATTTAAATTCTTCACAGATGGAGAGATATCAAGGGTAAATCATTATACCCACATTTGTAATTTTAAGAAGATTTGAGGGTATTTGTGGGTGGTGGGAAGTAAACATTGCTTTGTGTATAGAATTAATCATAAACTTTGCATACCACAGTTCCAAACCTTCCAGATGAGTGCGGAGAGCTCTCCAGACACCATCCCCTAAGGATTGAGAAATTCATAAAAAAGAAAATAATGTTATGCTACATGTAATATACAAACTGAGCAAATTGGAGTAACTAGAATAGTGACCTTTCAAAGAAGACAAATTAGGTTCTATAAGCCTCAGAATTTAATGAGTGTTAGTGCTTTAGGAAGGATGACATATGACACATATTCCTAATTCTAGTCTCACAAGAGTTAACTTTATTATTTCTAAACAAGATAAATAACTCGCTTCTTTGGTTAACATAATTCCACCCAATACTCTCTGTAAACTAGCTCGGGAACACATGTGGGCCAGTGCTTGAGATTTTTAGTAAATGTTAAAGGTATCTGAATGGTGGTCTAATGCTGCTTTCAAATAGTTTTAAGGGTTGGAATGTGGTCTCTGGGAAATATACAAGAAGATCTGATGTCAAATGTGCTCTGAACTTTGAGATGAATAACTCGTGGAAGTATTCGCTGTGGATTACACCACATGCCTAAAACCACAGGGGCAACAAATGGCGGAGTCTTTTCTGGTCACCAAATCTAAATGGTTTTCCTCAGTTCAGATTAAAAACATGTTTCTTAAAATATACTTTTTATAAATTCTGAAATACAAATATTTATTTGTATTCCCATTTGCTTTGTAAGTAGTTCTAAATTAATATATTCCTAGTAGCTCCTGAGTTCATATGGATAATAGTAAAAAGACAAGTAAATAGTAAACATACTGATAAGCCCACTAATCATAATTGACAGTTACCACTTGTCATGTTCAAATTTCATTATCGGGGATGTTTTTTTCTAAGTTTCTTGTATCTTCTTCCTATTAGTTTGAAAAAGGAAATGAAAACTTATTTAATGCCAGATAAATAATACCATGAGGGAACCAAAAAAAAAAAAAAAGGTTCATTTTTAAAAGACTCCTGGCAATAACTTTTGTTACCATGTTTATAGCAACATAATAGTGAAATAGGCAAATGCATTTAGTCACGTAACTTGGTTTTCTCTGGCCACTGCTTTCTTTCCTGTGGGAGTGGAAGAAGGTACAGGCATGAGGGACATGGTTTGGACTGTTCTGTTATCTTCACTTTGGTAAGGCTCCTGGCTCCACTGACCAGATGATGCTGGTAGCTAAGAGACAGGGGACTTGTTTTCTCTCTTTTGCCTGTCCTAGCCAAGATGGAAAATGAAGCCTGCTGTTGAGGAAGGTCAGAAAGTTGTTTATCGCAATGTACCCAAGCTCCCATGCTTAGGATGTTATTTACCCTCTACCGTGATGCAGCAGGAGCTGAAGATGTCAAAAATGATTCTCACCAAAATCTGCTTTGTTATTCATTCATTTTGCCTGAGTCTTTAATTTGGGGTGATAGCTGCCTTCAGAAGCCTTGGGATCCATCCCTCTCAGTAACCAAATACTGTCACATGGGGGACATTTCCTTTCTACAGCTGTTGTGTGTAAGGTCTCAACAGTGTGATACAGCTGGCTGCATACAATACAGTACCTTGATGTCTCCCTGTCTCCTTGCTTTTGCAGCTGGCGCTACGTACATCTTTGGGAAAAGCGGTGGCCTCATCCTCTACACCTGGCCAGCCAATGACAGGCCCAGCACACGCTCTGATCGCCTTGCCGTGGGCTTCAGCACCACTGTGAAGGATGGCATCTTGGTCCGCATTGACAGTGCTCCAGGACTTGGTGACTTCCTCCAGCTTCACATAGTGAGTACCAGGACTTGGCCTGGATCTTCTCGTCTTATTGGTGGTCTGAGTTGGTGATTCAGGTAGATGCAGCAGAACATTCTAGATCAATGTGGCAAAGGTGCACATGCTTATAAAACATGGTTTTGAGGTGTGAATCATCATGCTTATAGGGTACCCGGAGGAAAATATTTAAAAACTCTTTCTTCTGCCCCAGGTATATAGAGAGGAAAAAGAAATTCTTTCTTTGCAGACTCCCTTCCCAACTCTGTGGTAGAACATTTAGCAGACTGCTAAGGGTATATTTAAGAGATTTACCTGGTATGGATCTTACCTGGTGCAAGCAGCAAAGCCAAGTGGAACGTTAACAGTCTCCTAGGCTGGGAGTTGGCAAACCTTCTGAAAAGAGGCAGAGAATAAATATTTTGGACTTTGCAGATCAGATAGTCTCTCTCAGAGATACTCACTTCTGCCTTTGTAATGTGAAAGCAGACAGAGACAATACATGTGTTTGAAAATACATGTGACTGTGTTCCAATAAAAACGTGTCTGTAGAAACAAGCTACAGATTATAATTAAGTGACCCCTGTCCTAGGCTTCAAACATCACTGTAGAGCTGTAAGAAATGTGTGATAAAAACTGAGAGCAGAGTGCCCGAGTGGGCAGGGCGAAGAGGACACAGGACAGTGATCAAGAGTTGAGTAATTCATGTGTATTGCATATTCAACATTTTGCTTTTGGTCTTGTCCATATGTCCTTAACAGCACTGCACCCTCAATCCCTGTAGATCATAAGAACACAGCAAAGGCTAAGAAATTAAAATGATTTGGAAGAAAAATTCTTCTAAGGATGGAAAATATTTTTATAGCAACAATTAACCCATTTTATCACCTGTGCAGTCTGCAGTTAAGAAAGTAGGCTAAAGAGAGATATGATTCTCATCCGTAAGTACCAAAAGCGCAGTCACCAAGAGCAAAGAGAGGAATTGTTCTCATTAGTTAGCAATGACAAGCCTAGAAAGAATGGATTTAATTTGGAGCAATAAGATTTAGTTTAAATAGCAGGAGGAAAAAGCAGTTAAGAAAAAATATCAACTGGGGATTACTACCAACCTCCAAAAAGGAGGAAAAAGTACATTGATTGGAATCTCTGAATCAGAGTTTTGCTAATGTGCAGGTGTACAGAGAGAAGCAGAGGATACAATTTCATTGCGGGTCCCTGGAGTTGGAGATGGCTGGCCGGAATCATGCATGGCAAGCTTAGCTCCCACTGCAGACCACATATCTGGCACTTGCTCTTCCAGCATGCCTTGAAAATGGGAGCAGTTTAAAGCACTAGGCTTGATCTGGAAGTCTGTCTGGCCCCAGTATAAGCTAGATCAGGGCAAGACTCTGCTTAGGAGCTTAGAAAAGAACTGGTTAGAGATGATCACCTTCAAAATGTGGTGGAGGAGTCTTGAATCAAGTTGTGAACTTTTTAATTCTTTCTCAGATGCTTCAGGAACCATATAGTGCTATGAGCCTGAGCTAAAACATTTTAAAAACCCATGCCAAGGAGCCAAAAAAAAAAAAAAAAAAGGCAGCCATACTTACTACACTTTATCTTTATTTGGCCTCTAAGAGCCACCATAATTTACAAAACTCTGTGAGATTTATGTTGCATATAACTTAATGACTATTTCATGGCGGCTATAACTAGACTATTATTACAAGCTCACTTGCATTTCCACAGTGATTTATCTTCTTGTTTTGTTCTTTCTGACTTCCTAAGAAAAATATGATTTGGCACGGATATGAGCATCTTTTTGAGTCAAATAATGTACTACTGGTCTATCCATTCCTGCTCGTTCATGTTTTGTAGAACATCTCTACTTTTAAGAGAGAGATTTTCCTATTTTCTGTTGGTTTACTTGAAATTGGCAGTGTTTTAATAAAGTTGTCATACAGATCATGGTAACTTCTAGGAGGAACCAGAACATGCCAGCATATAATAATATGCCATTATAAAGTTCTGTCATTTCTTTGGTGTCTTTGAAAAGTGAATGTGCTATACATACTTTCAGATTCAAGTAACATCCATTTGTGTGCATTTATTAGTGTGTGTATTCTGTATAAGCATACCCATTAGATTTGACGCGGTATAATATTATTTTCTTTATATGAGCAAAATTGCCAGACATATCAAAATGAAAAGAAATCTCTGAATTACTGTAGACACTTGGGTGATGCTGCCGATTGCTTAAACATTCTGTGAAAGCCCAATAGATTTTCCTTCGAATCTTAGATAAGGAGATGGTGTCACCTAACCTTTTCAGAAAAAAAGAAAAAAGGATCCTATGATGTGGAGAATCTGTGTGATTCTAGAGTGACCCTGACATGTTCATGGCCCTCTCGAGCCTGGGGCCTCTTCGTGGGTCTAGTCATTTGAAAGCATTTTTTATTTCCTTGCAGATTATCTCTTTGTCTGCACAGAAGAAGGCAGGTTTCTTATCACACTTGAAAATACAGAAAGCCAGGTAGAAGATTAAAAGACTTAATTCTTAAAACCAGCTTTTTGTTTTGAACATTTAAGTTGTTGCCATCAGGGAAATCAAACCATAAATACCTATTAAGATACTTTTATAACTTTATAATCTGTAAAAGATGGTTCTGTTTGTTGAATGGTTTGTTTTCTTGTACTAAAGAAAATTACTCAAAAGTAAAAGAGCTTTGGGGCCATCAATGAAAGTGGAAGGGACTGAGCATGAGGCAGAAGATGCTATTTCACCTTACAGTTTGCCTAGGAGAAGAGAAATCCCCTGGAGAAAAAAAAGAAAAAGACACAAGGGGTAGTTGAAAGCAGGTGGCTTACTCTGCTGTTTTTTGTTTGTTTGTTTGTTTTATTGCTATAACAGAATACTTCAGAGTTGGTAATTTATAAAGAAAATAAATCAATTTCTTACAGTTCTGGAGGCTGGGAAAGTCCAAGATCAAGGTGCTGGCAGGTTTGGTGTCTTGTGAGGGTCCAGTCTCCACCTCTAAGGTGAGCACTGCATCCTCAGAAGGAAAGGAACTCCGTGTTCTTATGTGGCAAAAGAGCAGAAAGACTGAACCCACTCTTGCAAGTCCCTTGTTAGGATAGCGTTCACCTAATCATGAAAGCAGAGCCCTCATGATCTAAACACCTCCCAACGTTGCTGCATTGGTGATCGGAACTTTGGGAGGCACATTCAGAGCATAACAGCAGAATAAATTCCAGGGATAAGAGAAGAGGACAGGGCTCTGCCTATTGATGTGCTTCAACAAGGGGTGACATGGGGGTAAAGCTTCATTCTTGGAGTATGAGTGTTCACTATAAAACAACAACAACAAAAACCTAAGTACTTTGGTGCTACTTCTGAGTGGCGGTCAGGCTAGTAAAGTTAGTCAAAATTAAGATACAAACTCTAAAATTAGCCAGTGGGGTGTGTGTGTGTGTGTGTGTGTGTGTGTGTGTGCGCGCGCATCAGAGTGAGAGTGAATGAGAGAGAGAGTTGAGGAGAAGGAGAAGACACAAAGAAAGCTTGTATTTTTTAAACTTTCAAAGAGGAAAATTCCTAGAAATTCCTGAAGTATTGTGAGCTGCATCAACATTGTCGTTGGAATATTTCCTTTTTACCCCCAATTGGACTTATTTGAAGGAAGAGAAAATGCTCTTCCAATAACACTAGAGAGCCTGACCCTGGGGTAAGCACCTGCTCTAGGATATAGCCCCAGGCAGGAGTGGCAAACAGGCTTCACCTTGCCTGCAATTTCTCAGAGCCTCACTCTCTCACTTCAAGCTTTACACTGGGAGGGTTTGTGAGAGCAGCGGGCAAATCCATAGGCAGGAGATCTAGCTTCCATTAGTCATGTCTGCCACATGTGCAGAAGTGAGGTTTTGTGAATGTACACTGCACATTTTTCATATCTGCTCTCAGCTCCACACTATCCCTCCTCGTGTGCTCCAATTTTCCCATTTCTTTTCTTTCATTATCTTGAAATCCCTAGGTATTAAAATTTCTTTGGAAAAGTGGTATCTTAAGCTCGTGTTGCACTGCAAGTCCTGGAATTACTTACTAATTCATTTAAAGTAGTCCGTCTTACTGCCATCCTTCTTATACCAGGCTAAGGTCAGATCCTGTGACAGAATTTAATTTTTGATAGGAGAGTTGGACAGAAAGAGGGATAAGTGACCATGGCTCATTTGGGGAAGTGCGAAGTTGTGTGGGATGGTAGAAATGAATGGGAAAACTTGGGTAAAATGAAGGTATTTGTGTCCTAGATTGAATAATTGAGGCAAGGAAGAAAAGGTCACCAAGACAGTTGAGTGCTATGAACACATTATAGGTAAACTCGTGTCGTGGGGGTTTGTTGTACAGATTATTTGATTACCCGGGTATTAAGCCTAGTACTCATTACGTATTTTTCCTGATGCTCTCCCTCCTCCTACTTTTCACCCTCCCAAAGGCCCCAGTGTGTGATGTTCTCCTCTGTGTGTTCATGTGTTCTCATCATTTAGCTTCTGCTTGTAAGGGAGAATATACGGTATTTGGTTTTCTCTTTCTGTGTCACTTTGCTAAAGATGATGGCTTCCAGCTTCATCCATGTCCCTGCAAAGAACATGATCTCATTCTTTTTTATGGCTGAAGAGCACATTTTTTTGTTTCATGATTTGTTCAGATTGTCTTTCATTCTGGCCAAGGGAGCAGAGGCTCTTATTTCTCTTGTTACTTTCTTTTAAACCTAAAGCATTCCCACTCATCTGGGCCTTAGGAAAGTTATATAGGTTTTGACAATAAGTACAGAACAAGACAAGGCTTTGGTCATTTTAAACAACCAGAGAGGGCCCGGAGAGAAAAATTATTTAGAAATTGCTTGCTTCAAATTAGCTAACATTTCTTTGTTTTGGGTTCACATTCCATGATGCAATATTTTCCGAATCAATTATAAATTGTTATATTAATAGAATCTTGAATTAAGCGTGTTTGAAAAAGGCAAAGAGATCTTTGTTGAAGCATATGT